GTTGATGCTATTAGTGTACAAAAGTGTACATTGCTTATGAATCCGTCTTCAGGTGTATATAGGACTTCATATAGGAATATTTCTATTGAAGGTTAATATAGTACAATTAATTAGCCTGCTATATTGTTATAAACTCCATAAACTCCAGTGTTATTCTCCCTTAAGTCCTTCAAACCTACAAATGGAGAGGTCTGAGTAATTCTGTTCTAAGACTTCTTGTTCTGTCTGCAGATGTTCTTGCCAGGGCTCTCAAAAGGGCAGTGCATCGGCTTAACTCTTCCCCTATAGTAGCCTACAAGGTTTCAAATATTGCTTACAACGTCTATGGCTTGTCTATGTCAAGCATGTGTTCCCCTAAAAATCAATGACTCGCTGACTGGAAGCAGTGCCCCAGGCAACATCTCAGGCTTCTATGCTTTTAAGCTTTAGGAAAGACCAAACTGAGTTCAAGCAGAATAGCACAGCTCTGAACTATCACTGATTCCGGTGAGGTGATTGTGAGTCCCAGATTGTCCCTGGGATTCTCCCAAATCTGCAGATGTCTCTTATTTTCAGTGTTTGAAGTCTTAGGCAAAACTCCTTTAAGCGGTCAGGTGTCGCTTTCCAAAGACTGCTGGCCTGCTGGCACAGACCAACTGCCTCAAGGGTTGGCTCTTGCTTTCTTTTGTACTATCTTACCCTCCTCTGAAACTTTGCTGTTCCTCTGGAGTTGTAGCCTGATTGCACAGAGTATTTCCCACTGGTCCAACTGTTGGCAAAATTGCTATCCTTAAAAATTCCTATCCTATAAAAACTGCTCATTTCAAAGAGTTGTAAAGTTCAGGGGAATGCTAGAATTTCCTGAATCTGTATAGTGGTCCTGGGACAAAAATTACTATATTGGACATGAAGTAGCAGTTTAAATAGTAGTATGTTAGGTGCACTACAGGAATTTGTGGCATGGGAACTAACAGCAATCCCTTCCCCATGTGCACCCACAACAACTCACTGCAGCTGGAGAAGGTGGCTGTTTTCCAGCAGCTGCGAGTAACCCGTGTTTCTGTGCCCGCCGATTGCCCTGTCCTGCTGCAGTCTTGCTCGCTTTTGCTTTCTATTGCTGGAGGGAAGGTCTCCACTGCTAACGCCACCATTTGGGCATTAACCTTAATAGTGGATGACGGTTCAATACTTCCAACTTTTGCAGACCTTTCGTTTTGTGGCAGATCATTTCTAATGTGTGTTAACCACCTGACTTTACATCGAGGGGAATTGTTAATTCAACACAACTGTATAATAATATATTTTTCTACCACTAGGAGACTCTTATCCAGAATGCAGCTGTTGCATATGAGAAAATTGAACACAGATATGACGTATTTGCTGATATATCTTCTGCTGAAATTTTAAAGCACTGCTTTACTTTAAAGCCTATTCTCCATCTATTTTTCTTAACAACACCCCAAAACACAAGTAATTTGCTGTTTTTTTTTGAAAAAATGCTCTTCTAATAATTAGAAGTTGTCATTCAGTAAGCCACATAAACAGCTTAGTTAGTTTAGCTAGAAAATGAGGGTTATCTTGAACAGATTTAACACTAAATAAAGCATGTAACAAGTGTTTTGGTGCTTTTTCTGTGATGTTATGCTTTACCATAGTTCCTAACATGTCTCTTAAAATCAAAACTGAATCTAAT